AAAATGCAAGCTGAAATTGTGTCCTCCCAAGGGAAGCTTACAAAACAAATTTGAATCAGACACTACTATCTCGTATAACAAAATTATTATGGGAAAAAGTTGAAAATACCGTAATTTACACCACTTAAACTCCTGGAGGGAAAGAGAAGATATATGAATAAATAAATGAATATACTTTGATCTTATCATATTTACCAGTGTATTGGTATTTTCCCGTAATACCTATGCCAGATTTGTATATTATAGTAAGCTACAACATCGTGGAAATTAAATGGAAGCTGCTGTGAGGCAATGGAGGAGCATGTGTTATGATAGAAGGGTAGGGAATGTGATAGGTTAAGGATTAACACTGACCCATTAGCAAAAGACAGCCTTACCCAAACTGGAATATTTCAAATATGTTGACTGGGATTGATGGGAATGTTGAATCCAACATGTCTGATTTGGATTTATGTCTCAGATATGCAGTCATCCAATCAATTATGTGATTCCCTACTAATTGTGAAAGGTATGTTGCTAGAAACTTCCTGATGTTTTCATCAGAGGTGGGTTTCAACAGGTTCTGACCAGTTCTGGAGAACCGGTAGTGGAAATTTTGAGTAGTTCGGAGAACCGGTAGTAAAAATTCTGACTGGCCCCGCCCCCATCTATTCTCTGCCTCCCAATCCCAGCTGATTGGGAGGAAATGGGGATTTTGCAGTATCGTTCCCTTGCCATGCCCAAGCCACACCCACCAAGCCATGCCACACCCTCCAAGCCACACCCACAGAACTAGTAGTAAAAATTTTTGAAACCCACCACTGGTTTCCATCCAGTAATTTGAACGGAAACTGAAGTTCTTGTTTCTATGAATATTTTGAGAACTTTCAGAGAATGTTCCCAATAACTTGCCAAACCATGATTCCGTAGGGATCTGTTCTGTTTGCTTGTGTGATCTGGTCTCACCCCATTTATCTCTTGATCTCTTCATAAACTTTAAGAAGGGTAAAAATAATTCCGTTCTGTGACTCTCTTCCCAGCAAACAAAGAACATTTCCGGTATTGAGTTCATTTTTGGATATTTAATGAATAATGTAGATCCCTGAGTCTGCTTGGGTTGACTACAATAATTAGTACAGAGTAAACAAACACTTTATGCCTTGGTTTATGAATGGAATGGTGCCGCTTTAAATATTAATATGTTTTGATTGAAGTGACCAATCAATTCTATGCAGAGCTGGCTAACAGCTACAGTCTGTATAATGAAACCAAGCTGATTAGCAAAAGGTATAACTATTTTGACTCTTTCTGAAGTGGAATCTTTACGGTGAATGCAAGGGGAAGGTGTGCATATAAAACAGTTTTGTAACGAACTATCAGGAGAGGGAGCTGATAGATAGGAGTTTCCTCTGTGGTGCTCATGCAATAAAATATATACTTGATGCAGAATATCTGAAAACATGAAAACACAGCTGGCAAAATGCCTGATTATCCTATATCTTTCCATTCCTGTCTCTGCATTTCTTCCCAAGCTGCCCATCAAGATTCCATCCACTTCCACGCTGCTGATCTCCATGAATTTTGGACTACCTCCCCACTGCCTATTTAACCTGTTGTTGTTTTTTTTTCCGTATCAAACTCTTAAGTCAACTTGGTCCATATGATAAGTATTTCTTGAATCGTGGGTATAAGAAACATCTACAGAAAGGCCAAGCTTGATCTTTTAAAAGACATGTTTATATCGACATTAATCTTTTATAAGAATTCAGTACATATTACTGAATTAGTCAGTTCAGCAGCATTAGTCAGTACAAGCTATTTTATATAATTTATTATATGTTGTATTATTCAAGACTTGTTAGTAAGACAAAGACATATTCAGCCATGCATGATTATTTTCATAAGTAACTGATAACAACTATTAAATTCAGTTTATGATATGATGTTTCCACACTTGCTTATGTTCTCCACAACTTGAGATTTAATGAATGTATAAGAAATGATGATAGATAGATAGATACCATATTTTTCGAAGTATAAGATGCACCAGAGTATAAAACGCAGCTTAGTTTTTGGGGAGGAAAATAGGGGGAGGGGAAATCTGCCTACCAGGTATTCATCTGGCTAGCGTCCTTAGTCTGGTCAGCTTCAGCACATTAGTTTGCTGGTTTTTTTATCCCCTGCTTGGGGATAAAAAACAGCTTCTAAGGCACAGCTGAGAGGAAGCAGCAATGAGAAAAGCAGGCAAAACATGGGGGAGATCGCTTCACTCAGCTAGTGCCTAGTTAGGGCTGAAAAAAAGCATCTAAAGAACAGCTGAGAGTTGGAGCAAAGGATGGAGATGCTTCACTTGCTAGCAGTGGATTAAAGCACAGCGGAGAGTAGAGGGAGCAGGCAAAGCTAGGAAGATCGCTTGTTAGTGCCTCATTAGTGCCTCGTTAGGCTGAAAAAAAGCTTCAAAAAAGCTACATTTGGAATATAAGACGCACCCAAATTTTCAGCCTCTTTTAGGGGGGAAAAAGGTGCATCTTATACTCTGAAAAATACGGTAGATAGATAGATAGATAGATAGATAGATAGATAGATAGATAGATAGATAGATAGATAGATAGATAGATAGATAGAGATGGTGTGTGGCTGTGGGTATGTAGTACTTTTTATACATTCATTCAGTCTCAAGTTGAATATATCACTTTTGCTTGCTTCTTCAATATCTTTGTTTTCAGCATTATTCACAATATGTTTTTCTGATATTTTCTCACTTTTGAAGTATCCTTATATAACATACACCTCTACATTATTAAGTGAAAAGGCTTGCTTCAATTTTTTTCATGCTATTCCAAAGGAAGCATAACATCATATGGAAGTTCGACATTGCTAGTTCAGGACCCAGATTGTTGGGGGCAATAAGCTGACTCTGTAAACTGCTTAGAGAGAGCTGTAAAGCCCTGTGAAGTGGCACATAAGTCTATATGCTATTGCTATTGCTTGTTGCCTTTTCAATTATATCCGTAGAAGTGCATATGTCCATATCATTCCATTTATAGAAGCAGTTTGATTTAGATTGCATCATTATAAATTTAGTAAGTACCGTGTTTTTCGGAGTATAAGACACTCCCAACTATAAGACACACCTACCTTTTTTGGTGAGGAAAACAAGAAAAAGAAATCTGCCTCTGCCTCCCAGCAATTTTGCCTCATTGCAGCAAACAGCAAATAGCCTGCTTTACTTTCATTTTCGTTTTCAGCATAGCTTGATTAGCACAAGAAAAAAATCTGCTCCCAGCAATTTACTTCCTTGCAGTAAGCAGCAGAGGCCTGCGCAAAACAGTTGAGAGCAAAACAGCTGAGAGTCAGGAGGCCGATCCAATCAACTTGTGCTAATTAGGCTGTGCTGAAGCTGAAATGAGCTGTTTCTTCTTGCTGCTTGCTCCAAGGAGGTAAACTACTGCGAGGCAGAGGCCAAAGGGTGGGGGTCAGTGGGTGGGCAGGGCTACATTCGGTGTATAAGACACACCTAAATTTTCACTCCATTTTAGGGGGGAAAAAGGTGCATCTTACACTCCGAAAAATACGCTATATCTAATGTACATTATTTAAATGACATTCATACGTACAGTATTTTGTTGGATGTGGCTCTAGATCTGGACTGGTAAAGTGATACAGAAAACTCTTAACTCCTTGTTGCTGTTAGTGCTATCTGAATTTTTGCAGACCAGATGTGATAGCCCTGTATACAATAGGCATGGGGTGTCAAACTCAAGGCCCGCGGGCCAGATCCGGCCCATGGGGTGCTTAGATCTGGACCGTATGGCTGCCCTGGAAACAACAAAGGATTGGCCCATGGTGCTTCTGCAAGCAAAAACAACACTTGGGAGGACAACATGCAGCCTTTCCGAGCTCTGTTTTCACTGGCAGAGGGTTGCAGGAAGCTGTCACAGCCAAAAACGGATCTCGGGAGCCCCTTTTCGCTAGTAGACCTCTTGGGCCGCCATAGGCACCCCGACACAAGTGAGGTTGAGTTGGCCACGGCCACCTTGGCCGTAGCCACTCTGTCCCGTCAAGGTCAAACACAACCCTGATGCCAATGGTGAAATCCAAATTTTTTTACTACTGGTTCTGTGGGCATGGCTTGGTGGGCGTGGCTTGGTGGGCATGGCAGGGGAAGGATTTTGCAAAATCTCCATTCCCACCCCATTCCAGGGCAAGGATCCTGCAAAATCCCCATTCTCTCCCCACTCTAGGGCCAGCCAGAGGTGGTATTTGCCAGTTCTCCAAACTACTCAAAATTCCGCTATTGGTTCTCTGAACTGCTCAAAATTTCCACTACCGATTCTCCAGAACCTGTCAGAACCTGCTGGATTTCACCTGCCTGATGCGGCCCTCAATGAAATCGAGTTTGAGACCCCTGCAATAGATTATTATAATAAGATACCACACAGATTATTCTTTCCTGGACTAAAATATCTGTGAATGACTTTTTAGTAATAGGAGCTTAAGTTGGTTGGGGGTGGGTGAAACCCCATTTGATACATTATGAGAAACCAGACAGAGTATTTTCCACACATTTATTGTGAATTTTGTCCATGATAAATAAAAAAGGATTCTTAGGAAAAAGACTGGAGAACATTCTCTTTGCTTTTTAAAATCAAAATGTAGCTCTTTTACTAGAACAATCTAAAGCTTGTTGGGCATCGATTTTTATTTAGTGGTATGTGTAAGCTAACACAACAATACTTTAAAAAGTTGACATAGTTTAAAGAACACAGTTTTAACTTTAACCTATTGGTTTTAAATAACAGAAAGGGAAGCATATAATCCACAGTGCCCTTTTTCAAAGTGTGGTCAAAGCAGATCTTCTGTTTGATGCCTTTCCAAGCCAGATCAAGTTAAAGATAAACAATCATAAAAGGGTTCAATAAAACCCTTGAAGCTGCTTGTTAAACCTATAATCATAACAGATCCAGCAAGTTTCTCTTTGCAATTCTCATCAATAAGCTAAAGTATCCATCACGATGATCTTGCCTGGATTTTGAAGATAAGAAGGTCAGGCAAGATGTCCTTGGATAAGAGACAACCAGAGAAGCCCATCCCAGAAGAAAGCAATGACAAAGCACCTCTATTCTACCGCCAGGAAAATGCTTGGAAATACCTGTGAAAATAACAGAAACATGAAGGAGAATTTAACTTTCATTTTATTTATAATTGTGCATATATTATTTGGATAAAATATGATGTTATTTTATATTATTCAGGGGTCTGGAGGCTAAAACATATAAAGAACAGTTGCTGGAATTGGTTATGTCTGGTTTAATGAAAAGAAGGACTAGGGGAGACATGATCGCAGTGTTCCAATATCTCAGGGGCTGCCACAAAGAAGAGGGAGTCAAGTCAACCTATTCTCCAAAGCACCTGAAGGTAGGACAAGAAGCAATGGATGGAAACTAATCAAGGAGAAAATCAACCAAAAACTAAGGAGAAATTTTCTGATAGTGAGAACAATTAATCAGTGGAACAACTTACCTCCAGAAGTTGTGAATGCTCCAACACTGGAAGTTTGTCAGAAGAGATTAGACAACCATTTGTCTGAAATACAAATACAGGGTTTCCTGCCTGAGCAGGGAGTTGGATTAGAAGACCTCCAAGATCCCTTCCAACTCTGTTATTCTGTTATTATCTTGAAGATACAAGCTACCTGAATTGCAATTAAATGAAACAGCAATTTAACTGGAAACAAACAAATAGGTAATGATGAACGACCATAACATTACTAGACACCCAAAAGGATTATTGAACACACATCAGGGATATGAACCCCCAAGGAATTCTGAGAATCTCTACAGACTTTCAGCTGTACAATGGATCCCCCCCCCCAAAAAAACCTTTCTAGCAAAAAGGGTGTCCAATTTTCAAAGTGATGAAAAGAAGAAGGAATTATTATTCATAGCTTGATAAATAGTTATAAATTTTCTTACTAATCCCTGAGATAGCCATTTTCTTTTCAGTGTCTTTATTAAGAATCCCTATCAAAAATTTGCCCTCTAAACAGCTTTCTTACACTGAATTTATATTTTCAATGAGTTATATACTATAACACCTACTTCTATTCTTACTATGATCCAGAAGATGTAGAATTTATTCATTTTTCTCTCATGCCCAGCAATTTATATTTATTTCTTCTGAATGCTCAACTTGCATTTTTATGGCTTATTCATGCAACTAATAGATAGATTCTTTGCCTTTCAAGATATATTCCTGTCCCCACACATAAATTTACACTCTTGGTTGGAAAACTGATAGGTTTATGTCTCCATGTCTGCTTCTTTTTGAATAGCCACTCTTACATATTGACAAAATAAGGAGGACATATGCCATAGGAAGAAGTTCTGAGAGAGAAAAAAATTGCGTAAAGAATACATTTATAAATAACATATTAAAAATAACATATAGAACTATTTTATTCTGTATCTTCTTCTTGTGCCATATCCGTCATTGGATATTGGGGATCATGTTGGCGATCCTATTTTTCTTAACAGCCGCACGAAAAAGTGCTGCTGAGTTTTGTCCAAACCAGTCCCTTAGATTTTGAAGCCATGATGTTCTTCTTCAGCCTCGACCTCATTTGCCTTCAGTCTTTCCCTAGAGGATTAAGGGAAGTAGGGCATCTCAGATTCCACATTCCAATTCATATTTTTGGGTTTATCACAGAGGTGGTATTCAGAAGGTTCTGACTAGTTCTGGAGAACAGGTAGTGGAAATTTTGAATAGTTCGGAAAACCAGTAAATATCGCCTCTGACTGGCCCCATCCCCATCTATTTTCTGCCTCCCAAGTCCCAGCTGATTGGGAGGAAATAGGGATTTTGCAGTAACCTTCATCTGGAGTGGGGAGGGAATGGAGATTTTAGAGTATCCTTCCCCTGCCACGCCCACCAAGCCACGCCCACCAAGCCATGCCATGCCCACCAAGCTATGCCCACAGAACCGGTAGTAAAAAAATTTGAATCCCACCACTGGTTTATCATGCTTCTAGAGGACTGGGAGATTCTTAGCACCATGCCCCATTTAAAGGTCACTGTACTTGGGACCATTGTTAGGTTTTGCTGCCATTAACATGATTTTCCTGGGAAATATACAGTGTAGTAGTCTTCCTTTGCTTTCTACACCGCTGTGCACAAGCTGTTCGTGGCTGCCACCACACCATGTGCTGTATTTCTGAAGCCATTCTGATGAATGTGGTCTCCGCCTTCAGTTGATACTGGTGAGTCAGCTGCCATTCACCAGGCCTGTTGGTCCATGGGAGGTATTTGATTCCCTCTAATCCTCCATTACAGCATAAAAGCCATACTGGGTAGGGGAGTCCCCAATCTGCCACCTGGGGACGTGCTCTGTGGGGGCTCCCTCTAAGAGTTATTCATTTGGTAATATCTGGCAAGGTGAGTTTGTTCCAGATCTTATTCTTGTGGGACCTTATAGATGGACCTTCTCTGGATCAGCATCTCCCAAACATCCATATGACTCAAAGCCTGTAGAAATTCCCATTCATCCAGGTCATGGTTGTCCCAAAGGTGCTTTTTCAGGAGGCAACTGGACTTTCTTGTTTTTTTCTTTTGAAAGAAAAAAAATTGCAGATTACAGGAATAGAGAGCACTACTTAGGTAACCCTGAGAACACAGATAAACCTGCAAGTGCTTCAATTACCCTCTAAAATAGGACCTAGTTATCTTTGAGACTGCCTGCTGCTACCGACGGCCTCCCATCGACCTGTGCGCCCCCACAGAGAAGGCTCTCCCCCTGGGGGTCACCAGCCTACATTGTTTGGCTGATGGCACCCCGAGGAGGCCCTCTCTGTGGGAGCACCTACCCTCTGGAATCAGCTGCCCCCAGAGATAAGGAGAATCCAAGACTTCGGTGCCTTCCGCCGTGCCCTTCTTTTTCCAGCAAGCCGGGCTGGCCTAACACTTTTTAAAATGTTTTTAATTGCTTGTTATTGTTTTTAATCATGGGGCCAAATTTATATATATCTTTTTAATTGTATTTTAATGTTTGTAGTTTATGTTTTTACTTAGCTGTTCACCACCCTGAGTCCTCAGGGAGAAGGGCAGTATACAAATTTAAAAATAAATAAATAAATAAATAAATAAATAAATAAATAAATAAATAAATAAATAAATAAATAAATAAATAAATAAATGCAAATTACTAGCTGTTTGCAAGGAATATAAATCCTTCCATTCCCCACTATCCTGTCGGAGCTAAAGAAGCTTCTTGGATGAGAAGTGAAACGTCTTCAAAGAAAAAACAAGAAAGTCCAGTTGCCTCCTGAAGAAAGCACTTTTGGGACAACTATGACCTGGATGACCGAGAATCTCTACAGGTTGTAAATTTATTTAAGTCTCATATTTACAGTATTTACTAGAAGAGAAGCTATCATTTACTGAACGTGGAAGAAAGTGAAATTAATTCAACAAGCCGGGCAGAAGGTTTGAATTATGATATCTGGGTTTGAACTGGATTGTGGTAGTGAATTAGGGCACCAACTATTTAACTTGTTGTTTTGCCTTTTCTTCTGACAAACAAAGCCATTCAAAGTTACAATGGCATTGAAAAAAGTGACTGAAACTGTTTTTAACAGCTTCATAAGAAGCAGATTCAATATGGTACTCTACAAATATGATATTTACCAAATTCAGTCAATATAGACAGGAAAATTAAAAGCACATGGGTGTGTTTTAATAAGATTATGGTAGAGGATCAGGGGTGAAATGCTCCCGGTTCGGACAGGATCACCCGATCTGGTAGCGATGACAGCAGGTGGTTCGGTAGCAAAAATCCCTGCCCACCCCCCATGCCCAGCTGAGCCACTCGATCATCAGAGGCTTTTTTTTTTTTTTACTTTTAAAAGCATTTTTTCTTCGGCCGAAAAAATGCTTTTAAAAGAAAACAAAAGTCTTTGATGATCAGGCAACTCAGCTGGGATCGTCAGAGCCTTTTAAAAGCATTTTCTTACAACCTCTTCGACCGAAGAGGTTGTAGAAAAAATGCTTTTAAAAGTTAAAAAAAAAAAGTTGGCCATGCCCACTCAGTCACATTACCCACCACCACCAAGCCACGCCCACAGAGCAGGTAGTAAAAAAATGTACATTTCACCACTGTAGAGGATCCTTTTTTTTTTTTCTAATCGTTTAACAAAATATGAGATTCGAGAAATCTGAGCGAGAGATTGAAAGTACAAGATTCATTCATTTCAGCAGTGAGAAAAATCTAAGATTCAGAGAGGGGTGCAATAAATTTCTTCATGTTTTATGAAGTTATTTCAGACTTTGGAATTGGCACAAGAAAAGAACCATCAATAGCTGTATCTGCCAATTTTCATTAAAAGAAGTAGTAATAGGAGCAGCCTGCTTCTAGCTAAGCTAAATTTGAATGGAGCATGTGTCATTTACATAAGTCATAAAAATGCTTTGATGGAATAACTGTACAAATGAATGAAGGATTAACTATATTTCAGATTTCTTGTCAAGTTCCAAGTTCAAAGATGCTTTAAAAAAAGGGGGGAACCACAAAAATTAAGGGATTGGATTATTTTCACTATGCGAAGAGCCAAAACATTTAAAATTTAATTGAACAGAGGGAAAAGGATAGCTAAAAGACAGGAACATTTAGGAATTTAGGATAAGATATGATAACTTTAATTGTCATTTTTTTTTACTGTGAGCACACTGGCCCGCATTAAAAATGAAATTATGTTGTCTACTCTCGAGACAAAGTATATATTTACCCAAACACATACATAACATACATATACACATGCTATAGGTAACATACATATACACATGCTATAGGTAAAGGTAAAGGTTCCCCTTGCATATATGTGCTAGTCGTTCCCAACTCTAGGGAGCGGTGCTCATCTCTGTTTCAAAGCCGAAAAGCCAGCGCTGTCTGAAGACGTCTAATGTGGCCGGCATGACTAAATGCCAAGGGCGCACAGAACGCTGTTACCTTCCCACCAAAGGTGGTCCCTGTTTTTCTACTTGCATTTTTGATGTGCTTTCGAACTGCTAGTTGGCAGAAGCTGGGACAAGTAATGGGAGCTCACCCCGTTACACGGCACTAGGGATTCGAACCGATGAACTGCCGACCTTTCGATTGACAATCTCAGCTACTGAGCCACCACATCTCTCCACATGCTATATACATACATAAATATATATATATCTGCGTGCACACACACACACACACACACACACACACACACACACACACACACACAGAGAGAATACATAGAGGAAAGAGAAGAGTTGACAAGGTTAATTCTATATGGAACAAAACTGTGACTGAATAATCTGGATGTTCTGCTTTGGATACCACGAAGCCCCCTCCCAGAAGGTAACAAGGAAAACATGTCATGAAAGACTTGTGGCGCAGCAGACTAAAGTGCTGTTAACTAGCACCAGCTGCCTGCAATTACTGCAAGTTCGAATCTCACCAGGCTCAAGGTTGACTCAGCCTTCCATCCTTTCAAGGTAGGTAAAATGAGGACCCAGATTGTGGGGGCAATAAGCTGACTTTGTATAAAAAAAGAACA